CACTAGTACCTTTTTTAGTTGTACTGGTACCAAAGTAATGTCACCGGTACCAATTAAAAGTTGTTGGTACAAAAAAAAATGATACTCGTACCAAAGCAATGTTACTGGTACCAAAATCATGACACTGGTAGCATCTAAGACCGGTACCAAATCAGGGCTACTGGTAGCATTAGTAAGATTGGTTCCCAATCATTGGTACTAGTATCCATTACTAATTCACAATAGTAAGTCGTCGTCGAAATTAATTCTACTAGTTAAGCTAAATCTGTATCAGTGAAGGTTTATTTGTATTATGAGCTCTAAGTAACATTAATTTGGTCAATAATACCATGATTTTGGTACCGATAACATTGGTTTGGTACCAGTAAAATTTGATTGGTGCCAAAATCATGCTACTAGTAACCATTACTCAGTCAAACACCAAAATAGATGCATGAGCAAATTGAACAATTGTGGTAGTGATTCCATGTTGAACTATCGGATGAGACGATGGATGACAACAAATCTGTACTTACATAACAGATGCATTAGCAAATCGAACAATTTAACCTCCTACCAGTATCCCGATACCACTAGGGAAGTACCACTAACTACTACTAAATGAAAATACTACCACTAAGGGGGTACTAGATGACTACCTTAGTACCACTAAAAATGTACCAGTAAATGACTACCACTAGGAGACTAGCACTACAATAATACTACCATTAGATAACATGAACCATAACTACTGGTACATTTTTCACAAAACAATATTGTACCAATAGTAAAATGGTACAACTGCAACAGAAGTCATAACGACACAAATAAACCCTACCGCCATTGTTGTCGTCCACGTCGTCGTCGACATCAGCGCCATTGTCTGTGTTTTTGTACCGTTCAGTATGATCTTCATTCACCGTCTCCTCCACGTCCAGAACTTCGTCAACGTCTAACATGCACACATCATCGTCATTCTTTGTCGGGTTCGTCTGCTCAGCTACGCAGTCATATATATCATCACCGTTGATTGTCAGTGGGACGTTCAGGTCGAATCCAGATATACACGTAGGTTTCGCTCCCCCCCCCCCCCCTTCATTGTCGTCGTCGTTGCTCATGTAGTCGTCTATGGCTATGGCGGCCATCGTGTCACTGGTATTTTCCGTAGGTAGATGAGGGGTCTGGTTTGCTGAGGGAGAAGCCAAAAATGCAAGGGAAAGAGTGTCAGTCAACACAGTCTCTTCCGCTCCCCAAATCACGTCCCACAATCGCATTCCTAGATTCTCTCCATGCATTTAAGTTTCAATTTAAATTATTAGGATTGAGTGTTTACTAAAAAGCCTTTCCTGTAATCCCGACCGCTAGATGAAGAAGGGAAATGGACGACAACGAGGGGGGAAGCGAGATTGGCAACCCCCTTAGGGGTTGTCACGCTATCCGCTCCCCTTTGTTAAGTCAACCACACTAAAAATTAAACCAATAACTGTGGAAAAAAATTGTTTTTTGCCTTAAAAAATAAAATCCAACATGCATGAATAATAATGACTTCCTAAATTTTAGTAAATAACACAGACACAAAGTCGAAGAATCCCAACTCGCACTATAACGTCAGAAACATTAACATAATGTCATATGGAGACACGAGCGTCTCTATTCTCTAGTGAAATGTGGTTCTCAGTGAAGGTGGGGACGAGATTCTAAAATTAAGGTTGAGGCTTGAGTCTTGTTGATGGAGTTGGGAGAGTGGTCGAGTGGGATTAGGGCTGGTAATCGGTCGGTATCCGGTATACCAGATACCGATTATCCGGTATTCGGTATACCGGAACTAGACAGTGTACCCACCGAATACCGATACCGAATGTTATCCGGTATACCGAATACCGAATAGTCAGTATCCGATATTAATATCGGTATACCGAATACCAGTTAATGCATTGAGATTATGTTTTCGAGCCGGTATACCGACCTAATACCGATACCGAGTGGGCTGATTTGGGCATTTTGTTCTTTTAATTTTTCTGAATATTGTTTAATTAAATGAAGTAAATAATTTTGTTTGTATATTAATTATTACTATATTATATTGCTATCGTCTAACAAGTTTTATTAATCAACAATTCACTATTAGTTAATAGTAATTAGTAATTAGTTAATTAGTTGTTTATCTAATAGACCCTTACAACTTACAAGTACATCTCACTTATATAGAGATGTCATTTTGCGGACTAAGTTTCTGCTCATCCACGGATCTGCTTTTGGACTGATATGGCGTTCCTTGAAGTCTCACCTTGCTGGTTTGCTTAACCTTGATGGAAAAGAATCCGAGCAAGGTTGTGATGGATCAAGCGAATTACGAGCAACCATGGTATAATAATGTTGAGACTAGAAATGAGGGACCTAGTTCTACCAGCCAAAGGTTTTTGCATGATCCTTCGACCAACATTAACACTAACTCGCGCCCTTGTGATTACAACTTATCAATTAGAGCCAGACCTGTACATTCTTTTTTTTTTTTTAATTTGGTATTCGGTATAAACTAATCGGTATTCGGTATATTACTAATCGGTATTCGGTATACCGTTTGGCCAAGATGTGCAGCCGAATACCGATTGTAACCGGTTCGGTACCCGGTTATACCGAATACCGGCTTACCGAATACCATCCCTAAGTGGGATACTAACATTTATTGGGAAGTCGGCTAGATCTACAATTTGGTCCGGTAAACCGCGGTCTAGACCATACCAGACAAAGAGATCAAAATTTTATATAATACAAATCATGGACCAGACCAAACCATTCTTCACCCTCTACAGTCCAGCCCAAACTGTGCGGTTTGGTTTGGTCCACAGTTTTTCAAACGGCCTGGTCTATTTTTCCAGCCCTACTTTATTGGTGAACATGTCAAAAGAAATCATCGGCCAAGCTATAATTTAAATTCTTAGTAAATAATTAGTCAAATGGACTCATTTTAAATGATTTTTTTTAGAGAATTAGTTAAATTATCTCGTTTTTTAATTGATTCAAATGACCCTTAAGATTTTCCTTTAATATATCAAAATTACTTCTCATTGGAGTGACAATCGGTTCGGTTATAGCTGGATTCCTTTAGTCATTTCTCTGCTAATTGTTAAGTACTTTGTATTTATCGTCAATCACACATTTAATATTAAGTGGTTAATCGTAACCACATAGTCAGCTCTCGATTATTTTGTAGGTCAACCGGATAAACATTAATCAAGTGATTAAGTAAGGTTATACAAAAATAATCGATCAATATCCTAACCAACAGAAGACCTCCTACTTTTTTTAATTGTGCATTTTTGTAGTTTTTTTCCTACATATGTATGTGTTCTTTGTTAATTTGTTATCAATCAATAATCAACTCAATCTAAGACAAGTACACAATAACACCATTCTACCGTCAAATTTGATTAAAGAGGCAGACAAGAATAAGAGACCCAACAATAATTACTCTACCAAATTACATGGAAGCTTAAATGTTATTGATTCCTGTCTAGCTATTGTGCGCAAATTTAATTTTCTATTCTGCTTCTTATAAAGCCCTTCCTTGAAATTATTCTCATTCAAACATAAGTCACTATTACAACTACGGTAGAAAATGGATCTTGTAGACCTTCAAACATCCCATTATTTTATGCCTATGTCTGAGGCTCATCGAAATCTATTATTTTCAGCCCTAACTATAAGGATGGACGTAATCGATTAGTCGGTTAACCGTTTAATCATCGGTTCGGTTAGTAGCTAGTTAAATTTGACAACCGAGAACCGACAATTTACTGTTTAATTCGTTCTCGACTTACCATTAACTACAAATTCCAATTAGGTTACCGATTATACCGCTAACAGGATAAACTTTTATCTAGGGATGGCAATAAAACCCGAACCCACGGGTACCCACCCGACCCAACCCGGTCACCGCGGGTAAAATTCGTTTTGACAGGTTTTGGGCCGGGTTTGGGTTTAAACCCGTTCACTATTCACCGGGTTGGGTTTGGGCTTAGGTAAACCCGGCCTATGGGTACCCGCCCACACCCATATAATTAATTTTCTCGGTATATTTAATATTCTAAACAACTAATCTTATTTATGTTTGTGGAGACATGTCTAATTTTTTCTTTCTAATTGTGTAGAATGAAGTTGATGTTATCGAGTGAAAAGTGAAGAAACTTAATTGAAAGGAAGAAGCTTTCAATTAATCATGTTATTTATGCATAATTTGTGATTGGCTTCAATTTTCTTGAGTTTTCTAGATAAGTGTTGAACAATTTGTATAGTTAATTTGTGATTGCTTGAATTTTCTAGAAAGGCGTTTTATATATGGATAATTTGTATTGAGAGATTGATATTTGACTTTAATTTTGATAGAAACTTGTTATGGTAAATTTTTTACGGCAAAAACCCGTGGGTACCCATGAACCCGCCGATACCCAGCGGGTTGGGTTGGATTTGAGTTTTTCAAATCCAGTAACTTTTACCCCGAGTTTTTTTCACGGAAAAACCCATGAATTTGGATTTGGCAAAACCCGACCCAACCCGACCCATTGCCATCCCTACTTTTATCAACCTTCTCAGATATTGAGATATTTTTGCACTCGCGCAACGAACTGTTGGGTGAGAAAGGAAGTCTATCTTAATTATATTCATTTTTAATTGAAAATCAACAATAATACCACTACCCCAAACATTTATTTAAAATACTATTAGAATCTAACTTATTGTTTGAAACTTCTATCCATACAGCCCAATTAGGCAATTACACTTTTTTTTTTTATTATTATTATTATTATTATTTTTTATGCAACAAAAACAACAATTATAGTAATACAAATACTACAAGGCTTTCTGTTATATTAAACAAACCCCATCCGTCCGTCCATTATTTTGCAATAAACAAATTGCGGCAGAGACAGAGGACCACCCACCCGCCCCCTCCCTGTTTCCCCCTCAAACCAGACCAGACCAGAGCTTCTATAAAACGGCACCCACCCCATTCCTCCCACTCTCCCCCCTCTTCACATTTTCTCTGCACCAATTACAATTGAATTGAAATTTAAACTCGCTGTTTCTGGCAGAAGACCAAAACAGAAGAAAACTTCACCCTTCAGAAATCCCCCAATTTCCCTCTCCCTTCCCAAATATCACCTCCTCCCTTTGAAATGGATTTGTTTGATCCCGATTTTCCTGCCAGGACAGAAATAGCAACACCGGCCGTCTCTTACTCCACCTACATCCGCCGGCTCCACCTCACCGGCTTCCGAACAGCGTTCAGGGCCGCCGAATTCTCGGCAGCTCTGCTTCTCTTCCTCTGGATGTTCAACCGGCTCCCGGTTGCCGTCCAGATCTCCGGGGGATTCCTCCTCCGCCTCGCTGGCGTCGTTCAGAATCCTCTCTTCGTTTTCCTCTTCTGCAACGCCATCATCGTCACGCTAATGCTCAAATCCGCCAGATTCCCCGCCGCAGACAATGCGGATGGGGAGGATCTCGTCGAGAACCTCGTCGAGAACGCCGACGGTCGCTGCCTTTCGAGGACGGCGGTGTCGGAGAGTGGATTCACTGCTCTGCCGCCTGCGGCGGAGGAAGAGGAAGAGGAAGAGGAGGTTGTGTTTCAGGACAAGGAAGTCGTCAATGCCGTCGCCCCGGCCGTCGCCGCCTGCCAGGCCGATGAAATTGATTCTAAGAATGAAGTCAATTTCTTCTACCCTTCCGATTCCGACTCCGATTCGGAGGCAGAAAATCGGAAAGTTTTCCGGCGGACGAGGTCTGAGAATCTGCAGAGGAAGCGCGGAGACGGGACGACGAAGAAGAAGCTGCAGAGGTCGGAGACAGAGAAGAGCAGGAAAACGGACGAAGGCGGCGGAGTAGGAGAAGGAGAGGATGAGCTGAGCGACGAGGAGTTTCAGCGGGCGGTTGAAGATTTCATCGCCAAGAATTTGAGGTTTCGCCGGGAAGAGACGATGGCGGTGGTGGTTCAGGGGCGGTGCTCCGTCCCACAAATCGAGCTTAAAAATGGAATCGTAACTAATTAAAGTAGTTTAAGTAGGATTAGGGTTTTGTTAATAAGTCTTTGCTCTCTCTAATTCTTTTGCCTTTCTAGATCATAGCCAGCAGCATAGCTCATAGCTGTGCTACTACTCTGCCTACTGCTGCGACTGCTCTCTGGCTGTACAGTTTACTCCCTGAGTTTTCTCTCCCATCCCACGGCTGGTGAAAAGTAAAATGCGGTAAAAGTAAAATGACTGTTTTGCAACAAGGAAAATAAATCCACATTTTTCATTTCCGGAAAATGATCTGAGCCGTTGGCCAGGAATGTCATTAACGCGGAAAATTGGTGACCTGAAATATACGAGAAGGTGATTCAACGACGTTAGTATGCATTGAACGCAATGCCTAACATTCGCACCACGAAGCAAATTGTAATGTTCTATAGTGATGGTAGGCTGATAGAGTTGCTCTATAGTGGTATTTGATTATATGGCAGTCTTCACCTGCTTTCTTTGTCTTTTCATTTTGCTTAAAGTAATAAGAAGATCAATTTTGTAGGTTGAGGTGGTTAGGCAAATGTTTCCCTATATTTTGAAAATACGGCTTATGGCTGAGGAAACTGAAAACTTCTGATCCTACAAATTAAAATTAGGTCAATATCTTTGCCAGCAGTCCCAGCTAGGGAAAGATACGATAGCAGGTAAAAAACATCAATTCAATCCCATGTTAAAATCTCCCATTTATGAACTCAAATGTTGTCTGTGTTATAGACTGATAACATAAAATACACAAGTAGAAGTTCACAGTGGGTACCCATAAATTTTACTCATCTTCGCCAATTTGAATTAAAATAATTAGAAAAGAAGTATGAATTTTAAAATAAGAATTAATTTTACTAGACAATCACTCGCAAAATAATTACCTATTTGATTGAAAAAAGAGGAAATTGAAAAAAGAGGAAATCTATTACATTGTTAATTTTTTCTTGGTTATTAAATGATAAAAGGTGTAGGGGAATTCAGTTTTTGTGGCGCATGAAAAATTGGAAGAAAAGATATATGATTGGACTTTATCGCAACGTACACAGAGAAATTTAATATATTAAACATAACAAAATATTGCTTGTCTCGTAATGGATATAATAAATTAACAATTAATGAGCACTTCTACTATGCTATATATCATTGGTGTTTTAATGTACCACTTGAAGTTGTACCATAACATTAAATGTATAGGTTTAGGTTGTACCATAAAGGAATTTGTATCATTATGTTATGGTACAACTTTACAACTTGAAGACTTGAAGTTGTACCATAACATTAAATGTATAGGTTTAGGTTGTACCATAAAGGAATTTGTATCATTATGTTATGGTACAACTTTACAACTTGAAGACTTGAAGTTGTACCATCACATAAGGTACAAGTTTAAGTTGTACCATAAAAGAATTTGTACAAAAAGTATAGGTACAATCTGAAGTTGTATCATAACGTTAAATGTACAATTTCAAGTTGTACCATAAAGAAAAAACTTATAGCACTAATGTTATATAGCTTTGTAAAATTCATCACAATTGATAGGTTAATGGTTCAAATGAGTAAAACTATCACTTTTTTATAGGTGTTTTGAAGATCGATTTTTAAATTTTAGAACTTGAAGTTGTACCATAACATTAAATGCATAAGTTTAGGTTGTACCATAAAGGAATTTGTATCATTATGTTATGGTACAATTTTACAACTTGAAGTTGTACCATCATATAAGGTACAAGTTTAAGTTGTACCATAAAAGAATTTGTACAAAAAAAGTATAGGTACAATCTGAAGTTATACCATAACGTTAAATGTACAATTTCAAATTGTACCATAAAGAAAAAACTTATAGCGCCAATGCTATATAGCATTGTAAAATTCCTCACAATTGATAGGTTAATGGTTCAAATGAGTAAAACTATCACTTTTTTAGAGGTGTTTTGAAGATCGATTTTTCAAATTTTAGAGGTGTTGTGAGACACTTTAAAAAGAGTCCCTGTACGCCTATAAAAAGTCAGCCAAGAAAAATTGTATGATGAGGCAAAAGTTGGTAACATTTTTTACTTTGGCAAGAGTAAAAATTTATGAATTTGTACGAATTGTCAAATAATCGCATGTCTAAAATTGTTTTTGGTATGATTGCATGTCTGAAATTCAATATGAAGTTAATAATTCACATCTAAACCTACATACGAACAACATAATTCTTTCCATGAAAAAAAAAACACAAATTTCAACTTCAAAAAACTTATCCAACAACTAAAAAAGAAACAAAACAAAAGTTGTATGCTAACTCCCGACCGTCAACAAATTTGATCATTGTGGGAGAGCTGGCACAAAGGGAAAAAAAAAGTTAATAATGATTAGGATAAATAACAAATCCTCAAATTTCCCTCTCTCCTTGGTGCATGGGGTGGTTTGGAATCTACCATAGAAAGGGCTGAAACCGAAGTTTCTAAAAAGCTCACCATCTCTTCAAGCAACAAGTAGCAATTAAGCCGTCAATTGATGATTTAAGATTTAAACCACATAGATTTTTCATTTCAGGTGAATATGTTTCAATAATTTGAGTTAATAAAATTAATTAAGTGAATTGATCTCTTCGCATGTTATGTACCGAATTTAGCACAAAATTCATCTATTAAAGACAATTTGCTCAATTGCTTCGTTTTATAAAGTGAGTCAATTCGATAGCTTGTTCCTACCTAGACAATTGAAATTGACTCAAAACGAATTATTTTACAATTTTCCAAAATCAAATTGATCTATTCAAATTTTCCGTTGACAAACTGATCCATTTGATCTAATTATCTTAAAAAGAGACAATCGAATTACATTATTGTGTTACAATTCTTTGTCCAAACCATCTCTAAAAACCACATGACTCCCATTCATGGAAAGAGGAATTCCTGTTATATGTACCCAATCATCATCAAATCATGGCATGGTATTACACATTCCTTACCCCCTTACTTTTGTTTAGCAGTGACCATATCCCCATAATTCTGCATACTTTCCACTTTGAAATCCTACCTTTCCTCTTTGCTGTTCCCCATTCTTTCTGGGCTTATGGAGGAAGTAATGATTAAAAGTTAAAAGCATTTGTGTATTAGTGTATATCCACTTTCACTTGTCACTTGGAGTGGGTGTCTTAAAAGTTAAACGTGGTTTTGATATTGTGACACCAGCTTTTATTTTCACTAATCTCCTTAATTCTCCCTTCTCTCATGTTTCTCCCAATTCTCCTCCTTTTCTTCCTTTAAATATATGGAGATTTTATCGCACAAGAAAACTTTGTGTAACGATATTGTTATTATTTTCGTAATGTAAATTGCAATGGTTCGGTTCGTACCGGATCACACCAATATTTGGATCGAACTAGACCGGACCGATTACAATTCAGTCCGGTCCTTGGTCCTATAAATTTTATAATTACAGAAGAAAAATTGGACCGAATTTATTTTAGGCCAGGCTGAATGCAATGATGGTCCGATCCTTAATCCTAAGATGTCTTTCACTAATAGACCACAGTTCTCATGAGTTGGTCCGGTCCAAGCCGAACTGTTGCACACCCATACTTTCTATAGCATATTGTAAAGGGTAATTTTGTAATATATACACTCTACATATACATTTAAGTGAAGTTTTCAAATTCGAATCAATTAAATAGCACCCAATTAAAACCCAAACACATACCATTTTTATAAAGAGTTCAAATCCCATAATTGATGTTTATTTTTGTCATCCTTAAAAAATATTAATAACATACAAAAAATTCAAACCAATTACCGGCACGTCATTGATATTAGCAAGCCAATGATCTATAAGTATGATTTGGTTTTTCATACGGACGCAAGTTTTCCATTCCAGGGGAATTTGTTTTTCCATATAATAGCTCTTATCCACTATTTTCTTTCCTTTTTGTTGCTATGGTTCCACAAAGGTCAACTTTGTCATGTGATTATGAATTCCTTTAATTTCATCAACGTGTGGCCTTCCCATCCGTCCGTTTGTAATTTGGTTTCTCAAGAACGTGAAATCAATGGTTATGTCTTTTCTTTTCCCGAAAGCAGAAAGATAGGGTTATGAAATGCAAAAGGTTGTACTTCAGAATTCAGTCCATCTTTCCCCCTCACGGTTGAAGATAAATTAACAAATTTTGAGATGAATCAAGTATAAAACCCTAGTAAATGAATGACCAAGATATGTCATAACCTAAATTTTTTTTTTATGTTGCCCTCGTCCTATATAATTAGTTTATCCCTAAACCACGCACAAAAATGTAATTAGTTGCATTTATGATCAGAAATTTGATGTTGTTTGGAAACAAATATGGAGAATTGGAGATACAATGGTTATATTTTATACTTTTTCGTTTATCCTTTGTTTCTCCAATAATGAAAATATGAGGACCTGAAATGTTTGAAGAGGAATCCCACTCATTGAAGTCATTTTTATGTGTTCTCCGAGCTAAAGAGGACTAGAAAATGTTGTTGGTAACTCTTTGTCGATGGATAAGTCGACTTGGCAGGAGACAAGGCTTGGTAGTTTGTATTGGTAAGATTTGCATCGAGGTTAATAGCGCAACAACAAAAGTGATAGACAAGAGTAGCTTGACCCCGGATGGGATGTTGGAGATTTTTGTGAATGTTGGATCCCTCAGTTGCAATTGGGTCCCATCCAGTATAACCCGTTGGTGTTACCTAGGGGGGGGGGGGGGGTGATCCGACTGTAGCGGAGCTTTTCGGCCAGGGGAGGGCAGCTGGTGTGACAATAAACTTAACCAATGGTTTGATCCTCCAACTTGTAGAGCCATCAAAGCCATTCCCTTTCCACGTCGGAATGTTGAAGATAAACTTATCTGGCATGCGACAATGGATGGGGTGTTTACGGTTAAGTCGGTGTACCACCTTGCTGTCACGCTTGACAAAAGGAGGGGAGGGTGGAAGTCGACTGTGAGCTGGATGGATAAAGATAGTTGGATTCAACTCTGGGAGGCGGATATCCCTCCTAAACTGAAGGTGTTTGTCTGGCAGATCCTTTCTCGAGTCCTCCCTACTACTAAAGCCCTCATCGATCGAAAGGTCCAGGTGCATCCCCGTTGACCGGTGTGCTGGGATAGCTCTGAAACGCTTGAACACCTCTTTCTCTACTATCCGGTAGCGCGGACCTTATGGGATTACTCGGGCTTAAAGTATATGGGGGAGGGGTTGCCTCGTCAGACTTTTCCTC